ACGTAATCCCAGTTTATGGATTTCAGGTTCTCCCTTAGAGACAAAAAATCATGGTCCTCCAGATCATGATGCAACCATGACTCTATGGTGTATAGGGTAATCTCTCGCATGTGTACACGCTTCACCCTCATTGGTGAAATCTTAAAACGACTATCTATGAATATGTCATGTGATGATATAATGATGAGGTTTTAGCTCTGTTTCTAAGGGTTATTCATTACACGCAAGGGCCACACAGTCCATTGACTCTCATCTAGGCATACTCTGACCTCATCAAGAGCTAACCCACTGAACCCTTATCAGTAGATCCCTATGCCCAGGTACCTTGGGTTTTTCCAAACTCGGTTGGCATAGCACGTTGAGCCAAGTCCGAGTATCGGCAAATCGCATTGCGTAGTATGGTCTACAAGAGGACCACACTCTCACTGAGTTTATGTTTCACTATGTAAAATGCTCATACAAGCTTTCATAAGGCTTTTAAAAGCCACATAAACCTAACAAAAATATCATTTAATTGATGATCTCGACATTGAGATATATGAATATGAAAAAGGAAAAAAAATTTGAGTATAGACAAAGTGCATCTTGCAACACATTATCTATATCGTCTATTTTCAAGATTTTTATATGCTTATGGATTGACTTGATTTTAACTATTTTTGGAGTTTAAAATTTTGTAATTAGATGCATAAATAGATTTTCAAATGATTCTAAGAATTTTTATACAAAAATTACATGTTATGATAAAATTTGGAGGTGTACCTTAATTGGATTGTTTAAGGTTACGACCTTATAGGAACCACATCCTTACTTAAAAGAATAAAGGTAGAAATGTGATTTAGATTGGGACAAAAAAAAAAAAGGAACGACATTGATGTCCAATTTTAAGGGCTTCTTGTACTTTTTATAGACCCAAGGGTTTTCTTGAATAAAAATACACAAGAGGTACACCTATTGTTCCCCAGTCTTCTCCAATGTCCCATATTATGAACCCCAATAACTGACAAAAAAAAAAAACCCATTCCTAAGTATATGATACGTATCGTCTGTGTTTGTGACTTGCAAAATAGTACCATGTGGTGTTTCAAAACCGTGATAGAAGGGGTGGACGATTCGCCCATAAATTTGCGTTGGATCGCGACAACTCGATTTGGGCATGAATCGGTCTAAATTGGTAACAACAAATATTTAAAAAATAAATTAAACAAAATAAAAATTAAAATAAGGGTTTATGGTGGAAATTTAAAATGCACATAAAACAACTTTTGATAAGCTTAATAAAAAAAGGAAAAAAATATGTAGCTGGGTTCTAGGGAAAACAGGGCCGGGACCCATATCATCCCTAAACTAGTTTGGTACCAACCAATTCTCATCTAAATCGTCGATCCAGATCATAAATCATAGGGCTTTAAAACACTGGTACCATGCAATGGCATCACTTAGTCGCCCTTGCAGGGTTTGCATCCTAAATATGTTTCGAAATTGTAATATTTACTACCAAGGTTTTAAAACACAACGATTCATATTAAAATCATCCCATTCAAATCGTATTCAATAGGTTGATGATCCGGTTCTATGGCCCTAAAATCGCAGTACTCCACTTATTATTATTTTATTATTGTTTGTTGTTGCTATTATTATTATTATTGTTTCTTATTTCATCAATCCGATCAATTCATCATAGAGCCGATCGACCCAATTCCTAGTTTTGAAACACCGTTTACTGCGATATTTATTGTGAATGACAAAATAGACCCATTATGTTTCATGTGAATGTTTTTCCACTAATGTTGCACATGACCCGAACTTCTTGTTGAATTATACAAAAGTGGATTTGATGGGACCTAATACCTTATTAAATGCTAGAATCGCAACAAATTAAATGTGACACGTACAAGCCCAATAGTGTCTGCCTTTGTTAAATAATAATTAGCAACCTCCCCCTCTTTCAATTCACCATATCGAATCATATAAGGAAAAAAAAGACAATAATATACAATTTAAATTTCAACCAAGTTGATCCTAAAGTCTGTATCTTGTAATAACATACACTTTAAATTTAAAAAGGAAAATGTTTATATAAGTGCGAGGCTCTAAACAATCAAATTAAGATGCACATCAAAATTTTCGTTAGAAGAAATTGTTTTGATGATAAAAAATCCTCATATTGATCATCTCGACCTCAATATCCATGGACATGAGAAAAAATGGATTTCAAGAATTAGAAATAGTGAATCTTCTAATGCATTTTTTGACTGTCAATTTTCAAGATTTTAAAGTTCTCATAAATCTGCTCGATCTACATTATTTTTTAAGCTTTAAATTTATAATTAGAGATGAAAATAAATTTTAAGGGTATCACAAATATTTGCAGTATTGAAACCACATTTCTCGACACTATTCGAAAGTGCACCGTACTTTAATTGTTTAGAGCCTTGGCTATATGAACCGCACCCATTTTAAAAAGGTACTCACCGATTAAAAAAGAAAGTTGGAATAAAACAAGCTAGACAACAAAATTCTACTTTTCTCTACCCCCCTTTTTTAAACAAAACATACACCCATGGTCTTCTTGTGAATCTAGAGGGAAGAAAAGGGCGCTTATCTTTTTTAATATAGGGGAAAGTTTTGGTATGTACATGTTGAAATGACTTCCCTTCTAAAAATCTATCTTGCATATGGATTTAGGATATGAAACACATCCAAATATCACTCTAGATGCACTTTCACCTTAGATCCATGCTTTTGCAACACAAAATAATGCAAATATAGTTATATGTGAATAATTAAAATGAGCGGTCTCCGCACACAATTTCGAAATAGTTTATTCTAAGGTTTAAACTCTATTTCTTTTGCAAATTCATGGTTGAGATTATCGACGTGTGAAATTTTAAATAAAAAAACCTATGTCTGATATGGATTTCTAAAGGATAATGCATTTGAATAAGGACCAACCAAAATCCCAGTCTTTAGTTATTTCCTTAAAGAGTTCGTCGCTCGATTTAGCTTGTGAAAAATATGATTGAGTAGTTATCGCTTGAGTCAATGCACAAATTAATGTTGCCTACTTATTGTGGCCACCTTTAAATGCATGTTGAAATCTTCATACCTACTAAAAACCCTAGAAAGGATATTATGCTTAAAGAAAATGACTTCCTAATTTACCGTTTACAGTTTGGAAAAAGTTTACATAAGTGCAAGCTTTAAACAATCAAATTAGGGTGCACATAAAAAAATTCAGTAGAAGAGATTGTTTTGATGCCCAAATATCTTCAAATTGATCATCTCGACCTCAAGGTACATGGACATGAGAAAAAAAATGGATTTCAAGTTTTAGAAATAGTGCAACTTGTAATGCATTTTTGGACCGTCAATTTTCAAGACTTTTAAATTTTCATGAATCAGCTCGATCTACACTATTTTAAAGCTTTAAATTTCATAATTTGAGATGAAAATAAATTTTAAGGCTATCACAAAGATTTCCAACATCCAAACCACATTTTTTTATATTATTTGAATGTACGTTTTACTTTGATTGTTTAGAGCCTCAGCCTTATAAAAACCGCCTTTAAAGTTTTGGCCTACTTCGACATTACTATTTGGCCTAATATTTGTTTTTGTTGATTAAGAAGGATAACATAAGTCAATTATTAGTTTCATTTGGAGAATTCATAGAAAGCGATACCTCAAATGTTTAACAAATTTGAAAGAGGACCCCAACACTGAACTACTACACTCCCAAAATTTGACTAATTTTGGGCCAGCATTTGAAAACCATAGCCCACTAGAATCATGAGTAGAAGGTAGGTCCCAACACAAAAGGCCAACTTAATTGAGAGGACTTTCTCTTTTCCTTTTAGCCATAGCCGTTGAAATTCCACTCCCTTCACCTCCACCGTGGCCAGTCCATACATACATCATACATATATACATAAATGTCATAAAAGCCAACATCTCTTTCACCCACAGTCATTATCTCTTGAGACCCTCGCACTCATCCATCCATCCATCCATCCATCTATACTAATGAAACACCCACAATTTCATCCTCGTCGTGGACAAGCCTTTAAACCCGTACCCTTTTTGCATTGCCAGTCCTTCATCCCAACATCGATTTTGAAAAAATTTATGTTTATAAAAACAAGGACCAGCCCCACATCCAATTTTGATTCTCCCCACCCAACACCTTGTGATCCTTGAATCAAAATGTGGTGATATAAGGCAAAATTAAAGAAAGCTAATTGAGGGTTCAACTGGATACACCTACCCCCGATCCAATCTAGCTCGACTCAAAATTTGAGTTGGATTGGTAAATTTTTAGTTAGTTGTAAAACATATTTTGATTTTGGGCGAGGTTTTTATAAGGTTGCTTTCTTATACTGAAAAGTAAGGCGCACCTCTAAAACTTGTTTAGAGATGTTGTTTTGGTGTCGAAGAACTTATAATAATTTTAAAATTGATTTTTATCTTTAGTTATAAAATTTAAAATTATAAAAACATTGCAGATCAAGGAGATTAACGAGCACTTAAAAATCTTAAAAATCCTAAAAATTAATGGTTTAAAATTATACACTATTTTAACTTAAAATCTTTTTTTTTTTTCTCCTTGTCTATACTTTTAAGGTCGAGATGATCAACTGGTCAGAACATTCTCTTCTGTAAGATTTTTCAAGGCCACTTTACTTCAATAGTATAATATTGCAACCTTATATAAACTATTTCTTTTTTTTTTTAACCCAATGGGTGAACACATATTTGGGTAGGTCGTTCTCATCGCTTTGATATGACGTGGGCCCAGAACCCCTCTTTACCCATCCATGCATCAAACCACGACATGGTCATCGCAATTCGCTACCATTACATGCATCCCATCGATGAATCAAGGCATGATACATGACACATGTCACTTTTTGGACACTCTCTATTTCACATTTGATTGATTTTGACAGGGCGAGGCGTTTTGACTTTACGTTGGCCCATCACAAAATCATCAAAAAAAAAAAAACAAATCCTTTCACCGCTTCATTTCAATTTCCCCCTCAATTTTTCTACTTATATTTGTCCTTTTTGTGTTGATGTAAAAGGGTTTAAAATCTTCTGCAGCTCGTATTCTCATATGTCGCAGATGATTTCATCTTTGAATTTTTAATATTTGTCCTAAACAGACCACCATTGAACCCTACTCTCTCCCTCTATCTATCTACTGGTACCTGGTGTTTAAAACTTGGAGTGTTTTTTCCTCTCTGCGTTCTGAGGATTGGGCTTTAATGCAGGTTGGATCTCCTCGATTCAGGTATTTCTATTTCCTAGTGTTTTTTCCTTTTCCAACTTTTTCCAGGGTTGCAATTGATCTATGTGTTTGCTTAGCTTGAGCCTCGAAACGAATGTCATTTTTGCCATTTGGGGTTCTTTTATTTCTCTGAATTTTCTAGTTTTAAACTTATGCATTTGAACGGGAGGGTGTGCCAATGTATATAGAGCAAATGTGACAATTTGGAGCTTTGTCTTATGCTTTTTCTCTCTCTTTGTTGTGAATTTGAAAAGAGAATGGATGAAATTGAAGAATTTGAGTTTTTGAAAGCTTTGAAGAATTTGAGTTTTTGAAAGCTTTTTCTCCCTAAATTTTATGGCTCTTGAAATGGCTTGCTGGGTTTTCCCAAAATGTACCTCTTTCTCTCTCTCTTCTCTCTCTCTGTTTCCATTTTGTTGCTGTGATTCTCATTGGAAACTGAGCTTTATCCTCGGGTACTTTTCATTTAAGCAACGAAGTGGGACCTTGTACTGAGCTTGCTGTAATGTGAAAGCTTCATTTAGGGTTTCCTGAGGTGAAGGGGAAAATTTGCTTGTTATGTTTCCAATGTGTCTAGTTGGAGAGCGTGGAGGCGTTTTAGCAATAAGTTGTGACCTAAATTCTCCAACCGAGGACAAGGGTGTGGTTTGCCCACTATCCACGCTAATTTTGGACTCCTTTTACAAACTAGGTCTCTCCAATTGTTATTTGTCAAAAGCTCTTCAATATGTGTGATTTGTTTCAGGACAGTAGGCCTAATTTCGTATGCTATCTCATAATTACCCAGCTATCGATTTTATCTCCATTCAAGCTAGATATTGGTCTTTAGGGAAATCTTTGAGGTGACGCAATTTTTTCTATGGAGTTGTGCGTTCACTTACTATTTTACTTCTTAACAATCCAATACAGAAAAAACAAATTCAGTATTGGGGGGGGGGCGCTTGGTTCAAACTTTTAGGGCCAGGGCATATGGGTTGCAAACTTGTGACTGTAACATTTGTTGGTTGAATTCCAGCTCAAATCCCACCCCTCAGACGAGTGAAAAAGAGTGTATGAATGTTTCCTGTCTTTGGGTGAAGATAAGGTTTATATTTCAAGATTTTTTTTACCAGTGGCCCATTTTGCGAGGAAACAGGTGCTCTTGCTTGGCCCTTATAAACTCTGTTATTTGGGCTACATTTTCCTTTTTTTCTTTTCTTGATAAATATTTTCCTTTTTTTCTTTTCTTGATAAATTTGCTTGGGTTATATTGTTCTTAATTATATGGTAGGATAGTCATGCCAATATGAGTATCTGAATGCTTGAGCATATGTATTATTTGGTAAAATTGGGAAGTTTACACCTATCAGGTAGAAGATTCAACTCATTAATCTCCCTTTTTATCCGCTCCTAGATTTTTTAATCTTTAAAATATGATTCTGAATAAAGCTAAAGCAGCATGTTCCAGATTTTCAGTGTGTTCCATGAAAATTTTGCCAGTGCTCTCATGTCTGATGAGCAATTCTTCCCTGGACACATATAGTACAGTGTATTAAATTGGTCTTTCTAAACTTTGTGCTTCTTTCTGTTGCTTGTTCCCCATGCCCCTTCATGTGTCGTGCTAATGGCTTCAAATTTACATTCATGTGAACTTTTTAGTGCAGGTGCAGATAGTAATAAATGTTTTCATTCCACCATCCATAGATATCTGCATTGGTAGCCAACCACATTTGAGGGGGAGGAGAATATATCCTCAGCTCTAAAATGTCTCTCTTCAGTAGATTTTTCTATAGAAGGCCTCCAGATGGCCTGCTTGAATTTGTAGACAGGGTATATGGTAAGAAAATCAGATCTCTTCATGGCTTAACTGTGGTCATAAATCCACAATTGTTTTCGACTGTTTTACAAAATCTTGTAATTTTGGGTATGCAGTTTTTGATTCTTGCTTTTCAACGGAGGTGCTGCCTGATGAAATGTACCATATTTACTTGCGTGAGATTGTTACTGAACTGCATGAAGAGTTCCCAGATTCTTCATTCCTAGCATTTAATTTCAGAGAGGGAGAAAAGAGGAGCCAGTTTGCTGAAATTCTTTGCCAATATGATGTCACGATTATGGATTACCCTCGCCAATATGAAGGGTGCCCCCTTGTTCCTCTCTCCCTCATTCAACATTTCCTTCGAGCAAGTGAGAGTTGGCTGTCTTTAGGCAACCATCAGAACATTGTACTTCTCCACTGTGAAAGAGGAGGTTGGCCTCTCTTAGCATTTCTCCTAGCTAGCTTCTTAATTTACCGAAAATTGTACAGTGGTGGACAGAAAACCCTCGAAGCAGTCCATAGAGAGGCTCCTAAAGGATTTCTACAGCTTCTCTCTCCTCTAAACCCATTTCCATCTCAATTACGTTACCTTCAGTACATTGCTAGGAGGAAAATGTCTCCAGAATGGCCTCCTACAGAGCGCGCACTTTCACTGGACTGTCTCATTCTTCGTGCTATTCCCAGTTTTGATTCACAGAATGGATGCCGACCTATTATTCGAATTTTCGGGAGAAACCTTCATAGCAAGGGTGGCCTCTCGACCCAGATGCTTTTCTCAATGCCCAAAAAGAAGAAAACCCTGAAACATTATCGGCAGGTATCTTCTATTTGGGCAAAGTTTGTCTCTATACTTCTCTATGTGGGTAAGAGTTGTTTGCCTTTTTCCAACAAGATCTTTATTTCTTGCAGGTGGAATGTGATGTTATAAAGATTGATATTCAGTGTATGGTTCAAGGAGATGTTGTCCTGGAATGCCTTCATTTGGACATGGATCCTGAACGGGAAGTTATGATGTTCCGGATTATGTTCAACACTGCTTTTATTCGGTCGAACATTTTAATGTTGAACTGTGAGGATCTGGACATTCTCTGGGATGCAAAGGAGAGATATTCTAAAAATTTTCGGGCAGAGGTAAGTTTGCCTTCTAACTTTGATGAAATATTTTGAAAAATTCATATCTTCTAAGGAATCTAGTTGTTATATGTTTTTGTCCACTACTTCCAGGTTTTATTTGGTGAGATAGAGAGCCTCTCTCCACCGAGAGCTCCAACAGAGACTTTAAATGGTGAGGAGAAAGGTGGATTACCTGTTGAAGCTTTTTCCAAGGTTCAAGAACTTTTTAGTGGTGTTGAATGGGTTGACAGTGGTGGTGATGCTGCATTGTGGTTACTGAAACAGATATCAGCAAATGCCTTGCAAGAAAAAATTGAGATGCTGTTTCCGAATGATATTAAAGGAATACATGGGTTGCAAAATAAATTAAGTGTGCCTCCATCACCTATTGAGTCTGAAGATGAAAAGGAAGACCTTAAAGCAGCTAACAAGCTTGTTACTCTACCTCTAGTTGATCCCACTAGTGAGCAAAAAGATGCCTTTGACCCGTCTTCATTACCACTATCAACCATTTCAACAGTATCTGCTTTGCCCAGCTTTGCTCAACACGATCGCAATTCTTTGGTACCCTCTTCTAGAAATGCCCAAGTAAATCTTCCTCCACCCCCATCACCCCCTCCACCGCCACCTCCACCTCCACCTCCACCTCCACCTCCACCTCTTTATGTAAGGGCCCTTCCCGTTCTCAACCTTCCTTGAACACCTCTGATTTTGTCTCACCACCTCCCCCAAAATCTCATGGAGGTCCACCACCACCACCACCTCCTCCTCGACCTCCCAATGTATCTTCTGGTGGTGCCCCACCTCCACCCCCACCTCCACCTCCACCTCCTCCTCCTCCTCCTCCTCCTAGTAGAGCCCCACCACCTCCAGCTCCTCCTTGACATTTCGCCAAGGACCTCCTCCACCTCCACCACTTCCCCCACTCAAACAAGTAAAGGCCCTCCACCACCACCACCTCCACCTCCATGTCCACCTCCTCCTCCCCTTACAACGTAAAGGCCCTCCACCACCACCTCCTCCTCCTTCAACCGGTAAAGGCCCTCCACCACAACCACCTCCACCTCCTCCAACAAGTAAAGGCCCTCCACCACCACCACCACCACCACCACCTCCTCCTTCTTCAACAGGTAAAGGCCCTCCACCTCCTCCAACAAGTAAAGGCCCTCCTCCACCTCCACCTCCTCCTTCACCTGGTAGAGCACCTCCTCCTCCTCCCCCTCCTCCTTCATCTGGTAGAGCACCTCCTCCTCCTCCCCCTCCTCCTTCATCTGGTAGAGCACCTCCTCCTCCTCCCCCTCCTCCCATTTCCTCATCCAACAAAGGTCCTCCAACTCCACCTCCTCCTCCACCAAAGGGTAGTGGGGGTCCTCTACCACCTCCTCCGCCTTCCATGGCATCTGCCCATGGTGCCCCAGCACCACCTCCGCCCCCTCCTGGACCTGCTCGTGGGGGCCCTCCTCCCCCGCCACCACTGCAAGCTGCAAAGCCTCCTGGCCCTCCGCCCCCACCCCTACACGGAGGAGGTCGTGGAGGCCAACAAGTCCCTCCACCACCTCCAGGTTCGAAAGGACCGAGCGCACCACAACCACCATCATTAGTGGCTGGAAGAGGAAGGGGTTCATCTGGATCATCTATTCCTGTTTCAGGGAGAGGGCGCGGAGTAACACAGGGTGCGCCCAAGAAAGCATCATTGAAACCATTACATTGGGTGAAAGTCACACGAGCAATGCAAGGGAGTTTATGGGCTGATACTCAAAAGCAAGAAGAACAATTAAGGTGGACTAATGGAAGTGCATTTTATAATTTCTTAGGCCATGCGGTTTTGTCATTGTTCAAACAGCTCTCTTTGTATGATGCCACTTTGAAGATCGCTGCTTGGTGTATTGACTCTGACGTACAATTTGCTAACTATTGTATTTAGGGGTCCGGATATTGATATGTCGGAACTTGAGAACCTTTTCTCTTCGGCAGTTATTTCTGATGCAAGTAGAGACAAAGGTGGAATTCGACGGGGGTCTAATGTCAACAAACCAGAGATAGTGCACTTGGTAGATGCCTCTTTTGTTTTCTATCCTTTTTTTCTGGTTACAGTGCATATTTGAGAAATTAAAAGAATTTCAGATCCCTTCTGACAAAGTGAGATAGCATATGATTGCAATGTTCTTTGATTAAATATATCCAAACATAGTGGAGACTTCTAGCATTCTGATACCTTTTCTATGACGCACCCTATGTTTTGTAAAATATTCAACATAAATTAATTTTAAGGATATGAATTTGCATCAAATGAAAATAGGGATCCTATTGGAATTTTTGGAGAGTTAAATTGAAGCCAGTTTGCTATGTGCTAGTTTTCTCATAATCTCTTCTCTCTCTAGACATGTGGGCTATGTGGTTTCATCTTGAGGATCGATCCAGAGATAATTGTCCATTTCTATTTTATTGGAAATTTTATTCTTAGGGATCTAATGTGTTGTAGGTTCAATTGAATTGGTATCACTCAAACTTGACACTGAAAGTTAGGCATCCTTGACGTTTAGAAGTTTCCTTCTAAAGATCCAATGAGATAAATCCTCTCCCATATCCATGTTGTATAAATTTCCTACATAACCAGCTCCTTAGTTTGCTTGCCTTTCAGTTTTAATTTTGGATCTTCTTTCAGCACTCTGCTTGAAGCTCCGAAGTACTTTATTGGGAAAACCCTAATTTGTTACTCCATTTTGACAATTTTATTTTATGTTATTTTTTATACAACCTTTTTAAACTATCAGATATTTGGATGGGAGGTCTCAATTGTAGTTCTGCATGATAATTATTTTATAGGAAAGCATACAATAAGACTATAATTTTGGGACAAATTGGTCATGAACTCATACTCTCCCTTAGCTGGCAGGTGAGAAATCAGTCAGCTGGGGGTGTGCCATAGACAGCTCTCGAAGTCTGAGGAGAATTTTCTCAGGCTTTGTGAAGAAATTGCATACCCAACTGCTTGGTTTCACATCTGGCAGGCGGGGGTGATTGTGGCCTTTTTGTACCTGTGTTTAAAAAAGGATTTATAATATGCAGTCCCTTGATGGTTCAGTTAACTTTCAAAAAAAGGAAAAAAAAAAATGACAAAAGAGGAAAAAAATGAACTTGTAATCTTTTTCTTTGCCCTATTAGCTGACCATCTTATGTGCTTTCCACTTCCCTGATTACTTCAATCTATACATACAATATGACTGATTAGATCAATTGTCTTCTTACCATAGGTTACAATATACCTTTTTTGTAATAGTTGTGGTTTGTAAATATCTTTGTAGTTTCAGAAGTAATGCATTGTTATGAGTTATGATGCGATGGAAAATTCTCGTCACACTCCATAAATTAACTGAAAGATTTTGGATGTAGCTCAAAGAAATATTGGATAAAGAAAAGGTAGTAGTAACCCACTAAGAGCAGTTCCCCTCATCCAAATGATCCAAATTTACAGCATTACCTTGGCCCATTCCAATGTGGTCCCTATGCATGACTAGGTTCCATTGAGTGATACAAAGTTTGTCTTTAAGACCAAATTGTCCTAAATTTTAGGAGTTTCCTTTAGTTTTATTTTCAATAAGCAGATTACATTTCGTTTTTACGCCCAGTTCAGATATGGTTCTATTTTTTTATTTTTGTTATTATTATTATTATTTTGAAATGTTGACTGATATGGTTTAGATATGGTTCTATTGAACTAGATATTCTAGATTAGAAGTCAAATTGGCTACTAAATCATAAAATGGTTTCCCCAGTATGCCTTTCATTTATCTGAGTTTGGATATGCTTGCGTGCAATAGTTTGTTTTACTATTTTTTGCTTTTTTCAAGGGCGGCAGTTACTATATACAGGTTTGTTTCAGTTATTTTTTAATGCGATTTGTTACATAATAACTTGAATTTGATTGGTAACATTTTTCTTTCGTTTACATTACCTGCGAGTTTGTCTTCATGTAAGTTTATGTTACTATTCTTTTTTGGTCTTGCTGACTGTTAAGAAACATGACAATACTTTTTTCCTTTCAAATTCTTTCATTACAGGTTGACTTGCGGCGAGCTAACAATTGTGAGATAATGCTGACAAAGATTAAAATGCCCCTGCCAGATATGATTGTAAGGACTTTCACTTCTTTTCTGTACATGAGTCAGAATTACTGAGCGTGTCTATAATATGAATACCTTTTGTATTTTATAGAAAGGTCAATACTTTCATGAGTGTCAACATGGTAGTCATGCTGCCAATCAACATGGCGCAAGGAGCTCTTGGGTTGGGTTGACTAGATCAGGTTATGGAAAAATAAGAAAAGCTCAAAATTGCGATCATAGAAGTATCGAAAAATTGGTCCAGAATGATAGAGTTAAAAAAGTAATAAAAAATATACAATCTTAAAATGTTACATAACATTTGTTCTTGGAAGTTGTTAAATATTTAACAGACAATGAGCAATTGTAGAAAGGTCTTGTTAAGAGTCAAGGATGCATGTAAATCTAAATGAATTATATCTACGAACTTTAAGGGATTGCAGTTTACTTTTTTCACTTAATTGAAAATCCTAAGTCTACAGATTATCTAGAATTCCAAATTCTTGATTAAAAAATTATACAGTTTACTATAGATAGTCCGAATAAGACTACATTTAGCGATTACAATACTATGAGCAAGATTACGTTTAACGATTACAATAAGATGTATTACCTAGGTATTGGCAGTGAACAATTTGCTTTATAGGAAGTGTTTAATTTGATCTAAGATTTACACCATATCCTGGCCCCTGCCAATGAGCCCCATTGCTTAAATTACATCATGGGAATTAGCTTCCCTAGGCACATGAAGAAACTCCATAAAGCCACAGTGAGAGCAAACCCTCTTGTTCTAACCACTGTATTGTGAAAATGCCATGAGTTGTGGCCTCCCTTGGCATTGCCTTATGACATTGTGGGGGATCATCCTTGAACATACTTGAACTTGAACACACTTGCTCTGTTCTTATCCAATTGACAGTTGCCTGTTCAGTTTGTTAGGTGTGGGTTTCAACCTTCAAAATGATTACCTTAAAATAAGAAATATGCAGCTATCTAATACTTCCTTTTTTTATTTTTCTGGAAATGTTTTATCCAGCTATATAGTCTTATAGTCTAAATTCGCACATTGATCAATTTTAATGTGCCATATTTGCATTGTTGAGTTTGGGCTTTATGCTTGACCATGTTCAAGCTTGGCTTGAATGCATAGAGGACCACCTTGAGCTTGAATCACCAAGCTTGAGCTCGGGTTGGCTTGACTTATATACTTAAACAAGTCCATAGATGAGAGGAGTCAAACCATAAACAACTTGACTTATATACTTGAACAAGTCCATAGATGAGAGGAGCCAAGCCGACCACAAGCCCTAAATGAGGCAATATGCAATATAATATGTATATTATATAATTAATATCTTAAGGTAAGTTCCTTTTTGAGATGCGGCTCATATAGTAGAATGCATGTCATATATTTATTTGTATATTGTATGTAATATATTAAACAAGCTCAGGCCGAGATCAAGGAGCTTGTCTCAAGCTTGGCTTGTTCAATGAACAAGCATGCGGGCTTAGCTTGGCTTTTTGAGCTGAAAAATATCCTTTAAATTTTGTTCATTGTGAGTGAACCAAGGTGGCTCACCTCGTGCGCTGGCATTTCTTGTTGGCCCCCGGATTGGCCTTACTGCTGGTGCTTACCACTTGGATTTGGATTGACTTGGTACACAATGGCATGGCCATTAAAGATTGGCATGGCCAGTAAAGATTGCAACAAGAAGTCAATTTTTTTTTATTTGGTTTATATATTCACATTTTATTATATGCATGTGTTACTCTGATTTGGGCATATACTTGGATAGTTGGATGTTATCTCTCTTTTGACAACACCTTTCAGATTGTTAAACTATCTTGCAGTAGAGTCCGAATGAGTCCATTAGTTGCAATTTCTTTGTTATATCTCATTCATAGATATGTCTCATGGTATGCTGTTGATATGTCATTCAGTCTGTTGATTTTGTTCTTTTATATGTGACTACTTGAAAAATCTCAAATTTAGTTGGTGTCATAGGTAGGTTGCTAATACCACTGTCATGATGTTACTTTTTAATCCATTCCTCAGGCAATTTTATTGCCCTGGACTTCTGGAACCTTGGTGTTCACTCAGGGACCACGTTCAGCTGGCAATATGGTCTAATGGCCATTTGTGGCACCTTTTCATATTTGCTTGTATGTGGTGTATGCTTGCTGTTATGTCAGACACACAAGATTCAAAGAACTTATGATTGCATTTCCAAAATTATTGGGGGTCACAAATAGATTCTGTGCATCTGTGTATGTTCATGTGTTCAGCATTGCATTAGTTGGTTGAGACAAATATTGATTGTTGATGGGTTTGATTCATTGTTTGAGGTTGTTCTTATTATTAAAGGGGCTTGATTGTCACCATTATTAATGATGTTCTCTTTAAATTTAAAGAAACGACATATTCCTTGCCTCACACTTATGGACATTGTAGGTTATATTTCTGTAACTTTGCTGCATCATGTGGAGGAAACTGTTTGTGCTTCACGTTTTTCAATAATCTGCAAGCCATGACTACAATAAGTTTCCCATTGTTGTTGTATTCCCAGAGTGGAGTCCTGGCTTTGGATACCTCTGCATTAGACATTGATCAGGTTGAAAATCTCATCAAATTTTGTCCTACAAAGGAGGAGATGGAGATGCTTAAGGTATACTATGCTGATTGTTTTGCTCTATGTTCTATTGTGTTGATTTTCTACTCTAACCACAATATACTTTTAGTATCTTTTTTTTTTGTTTAGTAACTTCTCAAACAACTACAATATACTTTTAGTGTCATTTTTGTTTGTTTAGTAACTTCTCAAACAAAATCAATGCTGTAGTCTTGGTGGTTGATTAATGCAATAACTCTACTGCATCTAGTTTTATAAGGTATAAGTAATTGTATTGTTTGATAAGGTCCTTGAGTTAAGGCATAATCTATAGTTTTGCTATAACTGATGAGCTTGTAGATTTGGAGAAATCTGTCCTGTTTCAGAGGGTAGCTTGTGTTACTATGGCCTTGTTTTGCTTTTCCCTTTTGAGAGAGTTCTATAGTTCTAATACTTAATTCACTTGCAGGACGCATCCTGCAATATGAAAATTCTTAATGCATGTTTGGAGCCCCTGAATCTTTCTTTCATAAGAGAAAAATTCCATTAAAATAAAATGTTACAAGCAAGACAGTCCATGCCCAAATTCTTCCACCCAACAGACAATTGTAGTTGCATTGGAAGATCTTCACCATTTGTTTCCACTGAGGGAAGATGGCAGCTTGAAATCCAGGTTCTATTTTATGATTGGTACTTCCCCTACTAAGTATTTTGGTTCTAAAATGGATTTTAGGCCAATCCTATTGGATTGCTGTCTCAGTGTTCTCCTCTTGTATGGCTTCAAAGCATTTAGTATGAGAGTCTGTCATTATGTCTTGGGAATATGAGCCCTGTGCTTGGGATACAAGCCTCTTCTAAAATCTACTACTTACCAACTAGTAACCATTTAAAGCTTTGCATCCACTTAATTTTCATTTAGTTTCTAGACTTGACACTTTCTTTCAACTTAATAAGATACTTTATCAGTTTGTGTTCCGCAGTTGGGTGAGTGGGAGTAATTGCTTATAACTAGAACTAGGAACTCATTCGTTGTGTGCCCAATGAGGCATCAGGTCCTATTTTATGTTTGTGTTTTTATGTATGTGCATGTATATCTGGGTTAGCACATGTGCAGCTAATGAGGTTGCAATGTTGGAAGTTGCTAGGTGCCTCTACAGTATCTGGCAAGTGCTCCATGTAATGTGCTGGTTTTTTATTGCATTAACATGAAGACCCAGTAGCCCAGAAGATACCCTGAAGAGATGGAAAGAGAAAGATTATATATGGCAGATGGGGTTTACAAGCTTCAAACTTGCCTTGGGGGAGATCAAGGAAATATAGTGAGGTCTGAATGTATATTGAAAGTTAGAGAGCTACATATAGCCAGGATCTTTATAAATATTATACCACAAAAGATCTATCTTACCTCCTGTAAATATTGACTATATATATGTGACAGGTGGGGTACCTGCAAGAACCCCCGCTTACCTTGCGAAGGGAAAAAGAGAAGGAAAAACTTAAAGATCTAGTTAAAATTATACGTGCATACTTCTAAAGGACATTTTGTCTCAGTAGTCTTTCAGTGGCATGTTTCGAGTGGGAGCTGGGGAAAGCTGGAAGCATAGCACATGCTGCAACCTAGGGATCACCTGGCAGGCAGTTTTGGACATTTTTTAAAATGTGTAAATGACAAATCCTATATGTTTGCATTATTACTGAAGCAAAGAATGCAATGAATGAGATGATGACCAGTTTACCGATATACTTAAATATTGTAGCACATGGGTGTTGGTGATATGTAACTTGCTATTATAAACTGTTATTGCTGGTCTCCTAGAGCCTTTTTTTTATGGAATATTTGATTGTATTAAATATCGTATCAATTGTACGTGTTATCAAAAAAGGATGCCCACAGGTCGGGAGCTCTATGCAAAAAGAACAAAACAGGATCTCAGAACCCGTCATTAAAGATACAAGTGTATAACATCCAAAAATGGCAGCCCATGTAGAGGCTCCTGTACAAAAAGGTGAGGAGAGAAATAGAGACAGGAAAAAAACTATGACGAGGAAGCGGAAGAGAGAACAAAAGGAGTATAGGAACCAAAGGGGAGAGAAAGAAGTGGTTAAGGGGATCAGAAGGAAGAAAGTTCTAAGACAGAGAGGGAAGAGAGAAATGGGAGATAAGAGGAAAGAGAGGATAAGAAAGAGGGGTGTGGTTATGAGGTGGGCCAAATGGCTGAGGAAGAAACTTTGGTGGAGCTACTAGTTGCTAATCTGCTGTACTGCTCCTTGCTTGGACAAGGCACCAGCCACTTGGTCGGCTTCCTTGGGCACATGACTAAAGGTCACTCAAAGTCCTCTGTATTACAAATGAATGTGAGCAAAGAGGTGTGCCAATCTCCACAGGCTAGGTGCAGGGTCAATAGCCCAAGCAATGATGTTACGCGAATCTCCTTCTACTGTGAGTTATGGTGAGAATGATTGGATTCACAGAATCATTTTAGGTCTTCTATCATGGCTGAAGTTTTGGCCATTGTGGAGTCAACATTTCCTAAGAGCCCTGAAAAAGAGAGACAGATGCCATGGAATTCCTTTAGACTCCTCCAAATCCAGATGGGTCTGTTTTCCTCAAAGAGATCCATCTAATTCAATTTAGAGCATTTGTTGGAGGGGAGGCCAAGAAGACACGTGTCTTGGGTGATGGGTTAAGAAACAGAATACTCTCCTAACTGTTAAGTAGGAGAGTGGTCTTTAGACGTGCTAGTAGAGGCAGTCCTTTGGCCCAGAAAGAGGATTTGGACCTTAGAAGGTCCTGAAGGGACTGCCGGAGTGTGACCTTGTCCTCGAAGATCTGACAATTACGTTCTTTCCATACACCCCAATAAAATGGCCATAACTGATGCCTTCAATAGTGGGTGCCCCAGGGGTATGGAGGCATCAAGACGGCCTAAAGGATTTGGGGGACAGAGGCTAGGATCACCCATTGGTAACTGAAGGTTTGTAGTAGGTTTTTCCAAAACGTTTGTGCAACCTCGTGTTGCCGGAAGAGTTGGTTGAACGTTTCTTCATCTTTTTTGCACATAATGCCAGCGGTTAGTAGCTGATGGCAATTGACCAATGGTTAACTTTCTGCCTAAGAGCAGAATCCAGCCAAAGGCTTGGACTGTATCTTGCGGTAAGGGGGATTTGCATCGTGGTTGGGTCTAAAAGAATTGTAGAAGGATAAGACCAAGAATTTTCCGGCTTTCACAGGGCCCAAACCTATTTATCGTGACCAGGGTTTGGGAAGAAACCTTGGAAGTAGTTGATGAGGAGCAAAAGTTGCTTGCATTCCTCATCAGTGAGTGCCCTGCGAAAAGCGCCGACCAACTTATTTGACTTCTGGCACCAAAATGTCCTCGTTCCTTCCAATGGCAAGGAAGGAAGAAGGCTGCAATCAGACACCTAAGTGTTGAAGGCCCACCCACAAGTCTTTCCAAAAGCGATTGCAGTGACCATGCCCTACCCTGAATCTGGTTTTTTCCTTGAAAGCTTGCCTGCTCCTGGCAATACTCTTCCTTGCCCCAAATGCTTTGTAATAGGGGCATCTATGGAATTGCCCTCCTTCAACTCCATACTTTACCTGGATGACCTCTTCCCAAAGCTGCCATCTTTTGTGGCGTACCTCCACCATCATTTTGCAAGTAAGGCCACATTATTTTCTTTCAGCTTCCCAATGCCTAAAACCCCTTGCTTTTTGGTAAGGAAATTTTTACCCCGACTAGAGGAAATTTTTCATAAGGCTCTCTAGTTTTGTCACTACTGACGTGGGCATATGAAACAAGGACATCTGGAAATTAGGGCTATTGGCCAATGTTGCTTTGAATAGAGTTATCCTTTCTCCCAAGGAGAGGACTCTACCTTTCCAACCTGCCAGTCTCTTATTAAATTTCTTGACTACAAAGGTGCTTTCTAGGCTAATCAATGCATAAAGGGAGGACCTAAGTCGTTGGAAGGCATGCTTCCTCGCTCACCCCAAGTGTTGCACTAACAATTGGAGTTCCTGCTTCCCCATCCTTATCCCCATCATCTTCATTTTTGACATATTGAGCTTCATGCCCATCACTAGCTTGAAACATCTAAAAGCCAAAGCAAGGGAAGTTGGATTTATGCCCTTATGGATTCTGCTTCTATGGTGGAACTCGTTGAAGAAAGCCAGGATATCTGGGGCCATATTATCTTAGAACTTGTGGAAGATTATGACAAGGAAAGCATTAGGTCCTGGGGCCTTGTTTTGACCAAGGTCCTTAACTGCTTGGAGGATTTCTTCTATCATGAAAGATCTTTCGAGCCAATTTGCATCATCAACTGACAGAGTTCCAATACTCATATTATTCATTCAAGGATGAGGACCCCATGTGGGTGAGAAGAGGTTTCGAAAGCAATGATGATTATGCGGCTAACTTGTAGTTCAGTGAAGTTGTGTTTCCCAACAGTGATTTGCGTTATGGTGTTTTCTCTCCGCTTACAACTGGCTATTTTATGGAAAAAGCTTGTATTTCTACCCCAGGCTTTTGACCACTTGACCCTAGACTTTTGAGACCAACAGACATCTTAGTGTTTTAAGGTGTCTAGAAGGTCTCTTCTGGCTCTAGCTTTGTTATGGTGTTCATCCTCAGTGAGTTCTCTGGACTTTTCCAGTGCATCAACGGCCTGAATGCTATATTTTAGGGATTGAATTTTATGTTTGAAATTGCCGGGAAGGTCCACTTCCTTAGTTTGATGGAAGCTTTGAGTAGCAGCAGCTTTGTTTTTTGAGGTGTAAGCCCACCCAACCTTGGGCCTGCATGGCGGACCACCAGTGGTTCATCCACCAGGAAAAGTCCCTCTCTTCAAGCCAGGTCATTCAAACCTAAAGGGTATGTTTGGCCTCAGGACAGGGTGGGTTTCCAGCATTATTGCTTTATGGTCCGAGGTAGGCTTAGAAGGGCAGTCTGTTGAAACCAAAAACCGATCTAGTTCAGAGAGAATGTGGTTAAGGAATGGTTTGACCAAGTGAACATTGAGAAAGACATTTTCGTGACTGGTCTGTTACCTTAAAACATGCGGCTTGTAAATCACTACAGTGGTCATTTTCTCCCAAACAATGTGGCAGTCTGCCACTAGCTTGGTCCAATCCTGAAAACATGAGATTTGAAAACATATTTATGGCAATGTGGTTATGACAGTGCATCTCTGTGGGGTAATTCAGCCCATTATTTCTTGATAGTACAGAGTATAAGGAGAAATTTGTTGGGTGGTGTCTTGGAAGGTAACACATTTTGAGATGAGTTAGGAGTATGTCTTAAGTTAGGAGTTGAGTGAAAGCGAACTCTGAGTTGCATTGGTCACTTTCTCTCTAACAATGTGGAAGTCTGCCTCTGTGTGCTTGGTCCGCACATGAAGACATGGGATTTGAATAATATTTTCTGCAACTTGGTTATGACGGTGCATCTCTATGGGTAATTAACCATATTGTTTCTTGACAGTACAGAGTATATGAAGCAATTTGTTGGATGCTGTCTTGGAAGGTAACACATTTTTAGATGACTTATGAGTATGTTAGAGTTAGTAGATGAATGGAAAGAAGGTTCTGCACCTCAATGAATTGTGTTGCAATTTATTAGCATTGTATTTTATAATTATGTAGTAATAAGTGGATCTCTTATTAAGTGTGGGTGACGTTATCTTTTAGATGCTTTTGGTAGATTTATGTGTATTTTGGGCTTGTGGATGTGCTGAGCATGATTCCAGCTAAGATTTCTTTTTTTTCCTTTCCCTTTGGTGGATTTATTGGGCATGGTATTTAACAATGTGCTTCCCCATTGATACTTTAGCTGCGGTGGTTTTTGCATACATGTTAGTAATGTTGCGATTAATTGTTCATTGTTCTTTATGGTATGTGCCTTCCCTTTATTCTGGGGTCCTGAAAATGTTACTTTTTATGTTGTCTCATGCAATTTATTCTGATATCTCAAATGATCTTCTGATATTATATTTTTTACATGATTTAATATGTTCTTATTTTAGCACTGCTCATCCTAAAAGCATTGAGCTAGAGTTCATCTTGATGGCTTACCGTATTTTCTCTCTCTCTCTTTATAGCAGTTAAGCCTTTGTGCATTCCCATTACATTAAGTTGGAAGTTATTGTTCATTGAACTATATCTGCCTTCGTCAGAGTATAATCTGCTAACTGGTATTACTCCTTGTGTTGTAGAATTATAATGGTGACAAGGAAATGCTTGGGCGATGCGAACAGGTAGATTTCTCATACTGCGATTGAGTAGTGTATATTATCTGTGGTGCTGGCTAAGTGCTTATTGTATATGGATCTTTCAGTTTTTTCTTGAGCTAATGAAGGTTCCTAGAGTGGAGTCAAAGTTAAGAGTGTTCTCCTTCCGGATCACTTTCTCAACACAGGTATATTGTGCTGGAAACTTGGCAGTTATTTTCTTGGGGAAATAATACTATCCCCTTTTTGAAGTTATTCCACATCAAACCCCCATTTGAAAAGCCGGTATCACCAATTACCTTAAAGATTTTTTTTCTCATGGAGCCCCCACTTGATAAAATAGAACTAATGTGGACAAAAATATCTCTAACCATATCTTCCTACTGACCTGCCTTCCCCTTCTCTCTCGGTCACCCTCAAACTCATACATCCACCACCAACTTTCTCTCTTTACCCTGTTTTTGTCTCCCAATTGAACTTTCTCTCTTTACCCTGTTTTTGTCTCCCAATTGAACTTTCTCTCTTTACCCTGTTTTTCTCTCCCAATTGAACTTTCTCTCTTTACCCTGTTTTTCTCTCCCAATTGAACTTTCTCTACGATGAGTTCCCCTGTCTCTCCTTGAACAATGTCTTATTGCTTCAGCCCCTTCTCTTCTATAGCGTATGCCACCAAGAACCTTCATCTCCCGTGGTGAAGGTGGGTTGCTCCTTGGGCTGGTGAGACCAACTGCTTGAGCTGAACCAATATCTCCCATGCCAAGTCCTTGCCCTTGGCAGCCCTTCAGCACTCGGCCACCACAACCCGCAGGTGCAACAGCCTCAGCCCTTTATTGTCACCATAAAAAATGTCAGGCTGGACACCCGCTCAGACTCCATCATTCATGCTTGCCTCATCCATCATTTGTTCCAGCAAACCATGCATCTCCCATCCCTCTTCACCGATTATCCCTCCTCTTCATTGGCAATGAATGGGCTCTTTCTTGGTAAATAATTTGGCTCTGGAGCCCACTCAGTTTGTGCTCCATGCACACATTTCCTCCTCTAAAGTGGGGGGGGGCTATATACTCGGCTAGCAGTTCTATTACACTCGCGAGGAGCTTCTCAGGTCCGAATTTGGACCATTGATGCTCATTTTGGAACTCAAACACGGTTTCCATGGATGTGAGCTTGAGGTTTTACTGGGCACTAACTCTGGGGTCCTTTTTCTCTCTCTAAAATTGGTGATGTGAAGTTGCAGGGTTCTGGAGAATGAGGGCTCCCTCTCTTTAACTAGCTGGAGAATGAGGACTCTCTCACTTTCTAAGGAGTTATGAAGGATGAAAACTCTCTTTATCTGAGAAGTTGCGGTGAATGCTCTCTGTCTTTAAGTAACTGTGCAGAATGCGAAGTTTCTCTCTAACAATTTTATGAAGAATGAGGGTTTTGTCGGATTTCTTCTTTACTCTTTAGCTCTTGATGTGGAGCTCCAATTATCTCTTTCTTTCTGCAAAGGGTTTGGACTTGGTTGTGTTTGAGAGAGAGGGAGAGAGGAAAAAAAGGAGGGGGGAGGAGATCAATGGGAAAGGATATAACCAGGGGCAATGGGCATTGAGGGGTATTTTTGTCCCAAATAATCCTGTTTACTCACTTGTGGGGTTCCATGAGAATAAAAAGCATTGGCAGGGTTTATGGTGATACTACTGTTTTGATGTGGATTAAGTTCAGAATCTGGGGATGGTGTAATTTCCCAATTTCTACTTGTTTTCATGAACTGTGTTTCCTCTTAGGTTGTACTTTGTGATCTATATTTAATTTTTTTATCTAAGTTTCTGTATTATTCATAAAATCAATACTTTTGCAGGTTAAGGAATTGCGTGCCAACTTAAATACGATCAACAATGCTTCTAGAGAGGTATGCCCGTCCTCCCTCTTAAATGGGTTTGATGTGTTTTTGAGGTTCGATATGTTTTCTAATATTTTTTCCTAAATATTATGTTTTAGGTAAAAGATTCTTTGAAACTGAGAAGAGTCATGCAGACCATTCTTTCTCTAGGAAATGCATTGAATCAGGGAACAGCTAGAGGTAATTCTTTTGGTGTGTATGTGCAAGAAATTTGGAAGTGATGCTAATGGAAAAAGCAATTCCGAAATGATATATAATATGCTTCCAATTCTATCTTTACAGGATCAGCTATCGGCTTCAAACTTGACAGTCTTCTAAAATTGTCAGACACTCGTGCAAGAAACAATAAAATGACGTTAATGCACTACTTATGCAAGGTAAATATTTTGAATTTCATTCATGTTTCCTCGTAAGAATGGTTTTGATAGGATACTAGGTATCTCACATAATATTTAGAAAATTAGGCATCTTGGAATGTTGACTGTATCTGAGGATGTTATTATGCAGTCTACTCAAACTAAGTATTAATTTCTTCAACTTGAGCTATGATACATGGATAAGGGTATATAATGCATTTAATATGGTTTAGATCCCTACACTACATTTTTTTTTGCGAATTTGAAGACATCTTTTTCACATTATCTTGTTTCCAGTTTATTGTATAGATTATCATATACCTTAAGTTTAGCTTTACTTACTATTTGTTCAGCGATTTTTTTAGAATTTTTATATTCTTCTAAGTATCAATCGATTCTATTACACTGTCAAATTTTATAACATGATTGTTTTTCGCTAATGGCCTTCTAAACGTCATCACTCCACCACCAAGTTTCCTTGTCGGAGTTCCTTTTCCTCTAGATTCTCCTAACATTTCTTTTGCCACTTTCTTGATACTATCAATCATCTGAATCCATATTACATTGACATCATGTTCAGAGTTTCATTTTCCTTCTTCAACTAATTTATCCCTAAAGAAGTCTATTATCATTTTTTAAATTCCACCACCTAATTCTTGGGCCCTCATGTTCAAGATAGAACATGGGTGCGACCTTTTTTTTTCCTTTTTTATTTTTTTGTGGGGGGTTGGGTTGGGTGGGGTTTGCATTGTTTTCCTTGTAGATTAGCAACTCAAAAAGTTAATGTGTCATGTAGGAATTTAGATGTAAAAGTTTTATCTTAAAATGCAAAGAAATCAATTTTTTTAGGGACATGAACGTTTTTTTCTTTCCAACTGTTTGGAAGGCTTAAAATCTCTTATTAACAAAAGAAAGAGTAAGAAAAGAAACAAAAATCTCCAATCACTCAATGATGGTCAAATATTGCTACACTCGTTCAATGATGGCAAGTGGAAATACCACTGAATTTTGGAACTGCTTCCTGCAAAAGCAAACATGTTTCTTCTTTTTTTTTAATTTAAGTAAAGAGTGAAAAGGCAAATGTGCTCTTTTATTTTACCTAAAATATGGGTGCGAATCAACAAATCGAACTTGCTTGCAAGCTATGTCAGCTTGGTTCGTAATGAGCCAAACTTGAGCAGTTTACATTTTGGTGGGATGAGTTGGGCAAAGCCAGACTGCCTGCTTATTAAGCAAGCGAACTCCAAGTTCAGGCGAACTCATCTTAAGGTCAGCTTGAGCTTGTATAATACAATGTCGTGTTAAGCAAG